GGAGAAAAGCCAACAAACCAGAAAAAGCAAACTTTTTCTTTTATTCAGTAAAACAAAATCTAAACTTCTAAATCCACATCTGGAATCCCATCCTGCTTCATTCCTGTGACTCAGCACAGCCTGACGCTTTTAAAATCCTCATTTCCTTGTAGTCTTTTATGTGTTAAGTCCAGATCATGACCTCTGACCTCTTCAAGGAGCCGGACATACAGTGTACTCATCATATACAAAATGTCCCAGTTATTTGCACACACGGCTTATGAGCTCTGGATGGAGGCCAGAGGACCGGGGTGTCAACTCACGGCGAAACTTCAGCTTGACCCCCTTCGCTGGTACGAAACTTATGTACTGCAGTGTCCATTTTTTTGTACATACGTACATTCTCGGGTTTTTTTGGTGTTTAATATACCTGTAGCTTGAATATTGTGCTACATATAAAGAGGCAAACAGCAATCCCCCAAACTTATGCTAAAATAAATCTGTAAGGCTGCCAGTCCATTTTCGGGTACAGTTCAGAGGGGCTGGTTCTAACCTGCAAATCCCTAAACGGCTCGGGTCCAAGCTATTTCAAAGACCGTGTCTCCCATTATTGAATCCACCCAAACATTTAAGATCATCAGGGGAAGCCCTTCTTTCTGCCCCAGGCACCCTCACAAGCACTCTTGACTGGGGACGCAGGACAGGGCCTTCTCTGTGGCTGCTCCCAGAGACTATGGAACTCCCTGCCACTGGAGGCCCAGCTCGCCCTTTCTTTGATGTCCTTCCACATGCAAGCAGGCCAAGACCTTTCTCTTCTGGCAAGTTGATGGGCTGCTTGGAAGGGTGTTTTTTTTAAAAAAAAAAAACAGATAGCTGTGCTCTGTTGCTTTCAATGTGCTTTTAATATTGATTTAATTTACTGGTTTTTCATAGAATACTTGTCCAATTCTTTTTAAAATATTTGAATACTTGCCGTTTTGAGCTTTTAAATACCGTCCTTTTAGTGACATTAAGCCACCTTGGGGTTCTTTCTAAGGAGGAAGGCGAGGTGAAAAATACAAGTAAATAATCATAAATAAATCTGAAAAGGCTTTTTGGTTGGTTGGTTGGTTGCATTTCCTGCAACTGTCCTGGAGGATCTCTTTGCAAAATGACCGCTTTATGTTACGTCATCTCTTGGCTGCCTGACGCTAGGAAGAGGGGATGGCCTGTTTCTAAATCCCAAGGCTTGCAGCCAGATTCGTTAAGCCTCGTTAATAAGATCAGAGGTGATCTGCGCACAGTTTGGCGAAGAAATAGCTTTCCTTGGTGTAGGTACCTGTGACTTAACCGGGTCCCAGCGAGAGGAAGCGGGGTCAGAGGTGATCTGCGCACAGTTTGGCGAACCTACAAATTAGGCTTGGCTCAGAAGGGCGATGGTTGGACCACTGAATAATGTAAATCAACACCCGCCGTCTAAAGCTACTTCGCACACATTATTGGAAAGATCCTGTCCTAAAGAGGGCTCTACTTTTCCAGGGAAGTGTGTGGGAGAGCCATTTCTAATAATGACCCTGTTTATTTTTAAAACACCTCTGTGGGAAACTCGCTAACCAGAGAGAGACATCGCTCTCCTAGCTTTTTAAAGAAACAAAAAACCTCATGCTCAGTTGAGTCTGTTCTGTCCATAATCGTCCTTTTTTTTTGGGGGGGGGGAGGACTCCTGAAGTGGTATTCAGCCTTTTTTGCAGAGTTCCTAGTCATTTTTTAAAAATCAGTGGGACATATTAAAAGGGGTTTCGGGCGCTCTGGCCAGTTTTGTGTTTTCAGTCTTTTCCGATCCTTGGTTGCTCTTGTATTTTAATCGTTTTATCTTTTAATGTATTTTAATTGTGGTAAGCCGCCCAGAGACCTTTGGGTAGAGTGGGCGGCGTATAAGTTAAATAAATAGATAAATATACTGTACCTGGTGGCAGCGTGGTTAAACTGCAGTCCTGCAGTCAAGACTCTGCTCCAGTAACTGAGTTTGGTCCCGACAGGCTCAGGTAGCTAGTTCAAGTTTAAGTCAGCCTTCCATTCGACTCTCTGTCTTATGTCCTTCTCACTCGCAGTGTGCTAGGCTGTTCCTTTATCCATGCCCATACGTGGCAA